CGATTCGCATGAACGGTATACGAGTGGAGCGACTGAGTGGAGTGCACACGCATAGAGCGGGATAAGAGCGTCACACCACGTGAAAGTGAAACCTGAGCGGTGTACTCATTTTCGGCAGCTGAAATTTCGGTGCATCTCTAATTATTTTGGATATTATATAATAGATGCTTTTTTGAACATTTAAAAAATGTAAAAATATTAAAAAAGGATTTTTTACACTGCACCCCTGCTCTCGACAGATGGCACCCTGGTTGGGAAACACTGGTTTAGACCACAAAGTTCTTCAATATATAAAAGAAAGTCAAACAGCTTTAAAATGACATGAGGTTGAACTAATAACTTGAAATATCCCTGATATTTAACCAGTGTAAATATCTCGCAACACTGGTGGATAAGATAATTGAGATGAAAAAAGGGAGGGAAAATGATTTTTGGTGAGTATATGACCATGTGACCATGTTTGTGCTAGTGAGATTGAGTTCTCATCTTTGTGCATGGCTGCAGGCCCCAAGGGTCAAAATCACTAAGCACTGTCATTAAGAGATTGTTGATAAGATCAACCAATGCATGTAGTTCACACAAAAATTAAAAATGGGAAATCGTTTACTCACCCACATGCTGTTCCAGACCTCTATGAGTTTCTTTTTCAGTTGATCTTAAAAGAAGATATTTAGAAGAATGTTGGTAACCAAATAGTTGCCGGTAGCCAGTGACTTCCATAGTATGGGGAAAAAATACTATAAGGCAATGGCTACCAGCAACTGTTTGGTTACCAGCATTCTTCAAAATATATTCTTTTGTCTTCAACCGAAAGAAGAAATTCATTCAGGTTTGGAACAACATGAGGGTGCTATTGGAGGCTTACAAACATAAATCATGTTCTAATTTTTAGTGTTGCTCTGTACATCTCATAATATTACTTGAATGTAGTTATACAAGACAGAAAGAAATTGGGACATGTAGATGTGTAAAAAAGTGTATACAGGTTTGATTAATATATATGATGTCTAAACATTTTGGTGTGCTGATTGTAAAGGTGTGTAGAGCTGTATTCACAGCTTGTGAAGCTGTATATTTAATTATAACTTCGCTAATATAATGAAGTTGTGTGTATGTGTTGTTGTGGACATTGATGTGTCAAGAGTTACAGTAAATGATAATGCTGCTCTTTGCCGAGAATGTCAGTGACCTATGCTTGGCGCATGCTTGCTTGTGCAAGTGTGCTGGTAAGTGTGTATATGCATTGTGTCTTTGTGTATGTATGTGTGTTTCTGTGAGAACCATGTTGGAGTGCTTTAGCGAAGCAACGTAGCGTGCAGTTCAGGAGTGATGTGGGTTGAGCCGACCTGACCGAGCACCGGCCCTCCACTAATCCTGCCGTTTTCAGGAGCCCTGGCCCGTACTTGATGAGCTTGGGTAAGAAAAGGGGCAGCTCTTTCTCTCGCTCGCTTTTCCCTTTTTCGTTCCCTCTCGTTCTTTCATTCCCTCTCACTTTTTCTCATGCACCCCCTCTCAAACCCCAGCCCTGCCTGGAGCCAGTGTGCAAATGAATGAGTTCCAAATGTTTACTCAGCAGTTCTCTCTCTCTCTCCCTCTCTTCCTTCACATCTCCATCTCTCTCTCTCTCTCTCTGCTCTGACAGATATAGCAGAGGTGGACACCAAGCTAAATTTCAAACATCTCTTCCAACACACACACGCACACACACACACAAT